GGCTGACGGAGCTCAAGGAGCTCGAGTTGTCCCTGTCCGACAATCAGATCGGCCTGGGACCTCGGAGGGCGCTCTGCTCGGAGCCCGAAGAAGTCGAAGCCCGAGAGCCGCAGTTGCGTGGACTCTCGATACTCCCTCTACCGCAGATTCTAACGGAATCGGAAGTGGGGGCTTTGCCTGCCTCCGGCCGAGGCGTTGCCGGCGCCACCGCAGTGGTGGAGAGCCTTCGAGAGCTGCCGCAGCTCACGGAGGTGGTGGTTTATCTGGGAGGCAACACGCTCGGCCCGGGCCTCGGAGGGTTTTGTCAAAGCATCTTGAGGACCTTGCCACGCAAAAACCACGCCCCAGGCGAGGAGGCGAAGGAAGAGCTCCGGGCCACCTTCGCTGCGCTGCCGGTGCATCAGAAAGGCATCCGTCTTTGATCCGAGGCCGCCGGCCGGGGCCCGGCCCGGAGTGTGGTCGTGGCTTCCGTGGGAGACTTCGGGGCTTGGTCTCTTTCGGCTGCGAGGCCTCAGCCTCGGCGCGCTGGTGGCCTTTCTCCCGAGCGCTTCGGATCTACCTCGCGGTGTGGTGGAGTCCGAGCATTCAAACTTGTCACATGTCGCCGTAGCATTGCAGTCTTGCTTGGGTGTTGGTCTTGGGTCTTTGCTGGTTTGGGACTTTTGAGAACTTGGGGTCAGGATCCGACGCTAACACAGGGGGTCAAGTCGTGGAATTCGGGTTTGAGGCACTCGGTGTCTTGCACCGACCCCAAATGTGCAGCGTCCGAAACCGAATAGGGGCTCGGCCGGAGCTGCGTCCTTCCATTTGTGATGGTCTTCTGCGGCTCAAGTGCTGTCACAAGGCATTTAAAGCAGCCCTGTAAAGCTCAGAACCTCGATCATCTGCTGAATGTCTGTGCCCTGACCTTGAACCCTCAAGCACCGAGTAGGTCATTGACATGCGACTCCCCAAACTTCGTGCTGCTCGAACTCCAAACTTTGTAGCTTAGTCCCTTATGCGATGTCCAAGCGAATTGAACCAAGGAGCTGGTGCAGAAATCTGGAAGTCAAACCGTGACATGTTGAAAGCACAATCCCCAACGCAAAGCTATTATCGAGGGTGCCCTCTGGACATTGCAGTGTTCTTCCCAGCGCATGGGCTGCGGAGCCAGCAGTGAGAGCAAGTATGCCGGGCACTGTGGGGACAAGGTGTTCGGATTCTTAGGCGCTTGAACCAAAACCCCTAAACCTCTAACACTCTAACCCCTAAAGGCCCCCTAAACCCCAAAGTGTCTTTCTGACAGACTTTGCAGTCCCCAGGCAGGATCTCAAGAAGCTTGGGGCTCCGATGTTCCGGGGTCGAGATGGGTTGAGCATGTGAGGGGTGTTTCATCCCTAGAAGACCGATGTCTGGGGCCTAAGATCGGGAAGTTGGTGTTGTTTTTGGGTATGTCACCGCTTCTTTGATGCGAGCTTCTGGGTGATTCGGGGCTTGCAAGCCTGGAAGTCAACGCTGAATCTTCAACTTGAAAGGGGAGAACAGGGTGAAGTGTTCACCAACAGCACTCCTGGAGCAAGCCGAAGGGTGTGCCGCAGCATGCGTCAGTGCTTCCGTGCAACGCGTGGAAGATCATCGATGTCCAAACCCGTGACAACATGACCTCTTGCACACCCCCGGGACTTATTGATCCCGGCTCCGACATCTGAGTTTTGCTTCGTTGGGAGGGCACTCCCAGGTAAGCATCTTCGGCTTAATGCACATGAGGTTTGGGTTGCACTCGCTTCAGGGCTAGGGCAGTTGCTGCATACTGCAGATTCTTGTGACGCCTGCTTCGGCTTCCCTTTGGGACTTTCGGCCTCAGGGTGTGAGGGGCTGAACCAACCTTGCGCCCGTGTGCCGCAGACAAGATCGTTTTCCGCCCAAGAGTGGCGATTCAGATCACCCTTTCTGGTGATACCGCTTCTCTCCGCCAGGTTCGATTGAATCGATGTTTGTAGAGTATCTTTAAACGTTCTAAGCTCTGAAGTGCGCACTCCTCAACCATAACATTCCAGGTGTGTGCATGTCTGTCAGCGAACTCGGAACGGTCAAAAAGGAGTTTTAAAGAAGCCAGGGTCCGAACCGTCGTTCAAGCTGTGTCTGTTTTCGCACCCCTCACTATTTACTCGTGCTGTATCATCCCCCAAAAGCAGAGAAGCCGTGAAGCCAAAGCGTCCAGCACTCCCCAAGCCTAAACGCCGCCGGCCCGAAGCTGTTGAATCCTTGAGCACCTGAAGTCCAGAAGAGTTCCGAGCACCTTTGCCGGCCCCGGAAAGCCGCAAAGCCCGGCTTCTCCCAGGCCATGATTGCCGCAGAAGTTGCCGTGCTTGAGGGGAGCGAGCCGAGCCTTCGTCTGGATTTAAGGCGCCTGTTTATCCCAAAGCCCGGCAACCAAAGCTGCAGCCCACCGAGGTCCATGGCAAGCGTCGCCAGTCCCACCCGGTGGCAGGGGCGGCCTGCGCCGGTGACAAGGCGGACTTCTGGAAGCTTCGGTATTTCTGTTTTTTTGTTGGTTAGGCGCGGTAGAACTGTTGCTCTCACAGAGCCACACAGAGACGTAGGGTTCAATGCCTTATAATGATAGGGCCGTATGTGACTTCGACTTCAAAGGATATGGCAATCCAGGTTCAGGCCTTTGGCAGGACTAAATGCCTGGCTTTGATGGCTTTCTGGAGACTGTTAGGACCGGGTGGGTTGGTTGTTTAGATGTACTGTTCAAAAAACTTAGCAGGGTGCCGACCTCCCGGGTGTTCATGTTTTCAAGTTTGT